GGGTTTTGTTGCCCAGTTGCATCCTACTTTTGCAGCCCTATGGACTGTAGCCTGCTAGGCTCCCTTGTCCATGGGATTTTCTTGGCAAGGATACTGCAGTGGCTTACCACTTTTTCCTCCAGTGGGTCTTCCTGACCCAGGGATCAAACCCAGTGAACCCACATCTCCTGTGTTGCAAGTGGATTCTTTAATGCTGAGCTTAAATGTTCATCAACAGATGACTGAATAGATAAAGAAAATGTGGTACATATAGACACATACATAATGGAGTATTACTCAACCATAAGAAAGAACGAAGTAATTCTATTTGCAGCAAAATGGATGAAACTAGACATTGTCATAGTAAGTGAAATAAAACATTGTCATAGTAAGTGAAATAAATCAGAAAGACAACTATAATATGGTAACACAATTATGTGGAACCCAAAATATGGCACAAATAAGACTATCTACAGAACAGAAAAAGACAGAGATAGAGAACAGATTTATGGTTGCCAAGGGGGAGGGGCATGGGAAAGGGTTGGATTGGGAGTTTGGGGTTAGCAGATGCAAACTACTACACATAGAATGGCTAAACAATAAGGTCCTACTGTATAGCACAGGGAACTATACTGGGATAAAGCATAATGGAAAATAAGATAAAAAAGATTATACATTATATCTGTATATACATTATACATTATATCTGTATAAATGAGTCACTTTGCAGCAGAAAATTAATATAACATTGTAATCAACTATACTTCAATTGAAAAATAAATTTAAAGAATTAAACATTTAATTTTATATGAAATTTATCACTTGTTTACCAAAGTGTCAACAGTCCAGAGCAATGCAATGATTTAGGAATTATTAATTAATATAATGTGGAGAGGGAAAAGACAACCCACTCCAGTATTGCCTGGGAAATCCATGGACAGAGAAGCCTGGCAGGCTACAGTCCAAAGGATTGCAAAGAGCTGGACATGCCTGAGTGACTAAGCACACACATACACAAATAGTGAAGACATAAAATTCCAGCAACCATCCATATTAAGGCTGACTCATGAACAGCAAAACTGACATTGGGGCACACTTTTTTTTTTTTTTTAAGAATTAGGCTATCTGGCAATGTGTCTTATGTGTAAATTTATCTCAAATTTTCACACTCTATTCATTCCAATTGTATGCTTTTTTTAAAAAAAATATCTGTAATGAAACATGAAATTTGCTCCTGAAGGTTCTACAAAACCACAAGTAAAATTTTAAAAAAATTTAAATAGGAAACCATTAGAAGTAATCTGGGAATGATCAAAGTGGGCAGGTACAAACTACCATATAAATAGCTTTATTTGCTAATTACATAGAAAGCACTGGTAAGATAATTTTTTTGTGGAAGTAAAAAGTCTAACTCAGAGGAGTATCTATTGCCAAAATCTAGAAAGGAAACTTTAGTATCTGGTAATATCTTTTTGAAACCACATTGGTAGATATTTATGTTAAATTTAACTTTCTTAAATTCAAATGTCAAGAAGTAGATAGACTAAATTTTAAGAACATCTATAATACAGACAAACTTGAAGTTAATATGTGGAAAGAATTTTCATTTATAAATGAGGGAAAATGGGCTCTAGTAAGCTTTCCTTGAAAAGTTATCCTTGTCGGGACTCAGTATTCTCATAAAAGGGCTTCCCAGGTGGTGCTAGTGGTAAAGAATCTGCCTGCCAATTCAGAAGCCCAGATGTAAGAGTGGTAGGTTCAGTCCCTGGGTCAGGAAGATCCCCTGGAGGAGGGCACAGCAACTCACTCCAGTATTTTTGCCTGGAGAATTCCATGGATGGCAGAGCAGAGCAGGCTATGACCCATTGGGTCACAAAGTCAGAAACAACTGAAGCGGCTTAGCACCAGGCATGTTCTCATTAAAAATGTATGCATTCTATCAGAACTGTTCTATCATTCCTTAAAATTCTGAGTTTCCAACCAGTTCACAACTTTTCAAAGTCTTCTGTCAAAGATGTAAGAGAGCAGTAAATAAAAATTGTAATCCATCAACATCAAATGAGCAAATAAACATGAAAACTGAAAGCAAAGACCACAAAAGGTGGTTGAAGACCTACTTCTAAGGTGCAGAGCAAAGATGGTTTGCAAAGTGCACAACCTTAGGAGTTACAGTAATTCATGATTATTAAATAAAATTAAAAAAAATATTTCAATGACCACATACCAAACTGGCTTTTTAAAAAAATCAGATTAAAAACTATACCCAGATTTGCTTATGTGTATATTGTATTTGTGAGTATATCAATTCAGCAGTGGCCACAGGACTGGAAAAGGTCAGTGTTCATTCCAATCCCAAAGAAAGGCAATCCCAAAGAATGCTCAAGCTACTGCACAATTGCACTCATCTCACATGCTAGTAAAGTAATGCTCAAAATTCTCCAAACCAGGCTTCAGCAATACATGAACCGTGAACTTCCAGATGTTCAAGCTGGTTTTAGAAAAGGCAGAGGAACCAGGGATCATATTTCCAACATCCACTGGACCATCGAAAAAGCAAGAGAGTTCCAGAAAAACATCTATTTCTGCTTCATTGACTATATCAAAGCCTTTGACTGTGTGGATCACAATAAACTGTGGAAAATCCTCAAAGAGATGGGAATATCAGACCACCTGACCTGCCTCTTGAGAAACCTGTATGCAGGTCAGGAAGCAACAGTTAGAACTGGACATGGACCAACAGACTAGTTCCAAATAGGAAAAGGAGTAGGTCAAGGCTGTATATTGTCACCTTGCCTATTTAACTTATATGCAGAGTACCTCATGAGAAATGCTGGGCTGGATGAAGCACAAGCTGGAACCAAGATTGCTGAGAGAAATATCAATAACCTCAGATATGCAGATGACACCACGTTTATGGCAGAAAGTGAAGAAGAACAAAAGAACCTCTTGATGAAAGTGAAAGAGGAGAGTGAAAAAGTTGGCTTAAAGCTCAATATTCAGAAAACTAAGATCATGGCATCTGGTCCCATCACTTCATGGCAAATAGATGGGGAAACAGTGGAAACAGAGGCTGAGTTTATTTTTCTGGGCTCCAAAATCACTGAAGACATTGATTGCAGCCATGAAATTAAAAGACGCTTACTCCTTGGAAGGAAAGTTTTGACCAACCTAGACAGCATATTAAAAAGCAGAGACATTACTTTGTCAACATAGGTCCATCTAGTCAAGGCTATGGTTTTTCCAGTAGCCATGTATGGATGTGAGAGTTGGACTATAAAGAAAGCTGAGCACTGAAGAACTGATGGTTTTGAATTGTGGTGTTGGAGAAGACTGTTGAGAGTCCCTTGGACTGCAAGCAGATCCAACCAGTCCATCCAAAGGGAAATCGGTCCTGGGTGTTCACTGGAAGGATTGATGTTGAAGCTGAAACCCCAATACTTTGGCCACCTGATGCGAAGAAGTGACTCATTTGAAAAGACCCTGATGTTGGGAAAGACTGAAGGCAGGAGGAGAAGGGGAGGACAGAGGATGAGATGATTAGATGGCATCACCGACGCAATGGCTATGAGTTTGGGCAAACTCCAGAAGTTGGTGATGGACAGGGAGGCCTGGTGTGCTGCGGTTCATGGGGTTGCAAAGAGTCGGACATGACTGAATGACTGAACTGAACTGAACCACTGATTATTCCTTCTCTCCCGGCATATGGCATCCTCACATCCTATTTGCGTCCCATCCCCAGCTTAGCTTGTGAAACTCAAGATATTTTTGAAGTTATAGACTGCTTTTTCAAAATTAGGTTTTCCTTACTATTCCATATATAAGCAAATATTTCAAGAAGGGTGGTTAATTGATAATTGTTTGGCAACTGGGGTATCCTGTACCATTTAGGCAGTGATATTTTTGTAACATTTTCTTGTTGAATAGACCGTATTTCATTTATGTCAAACCTTAGGAAACTAAACCTTATTTCTTAAGAGCCTGCCAGTGACTGGCACACGTTTGAAAGAAAGAAGTTGACATAGACTATCAATATTAACTACTTAATGATTAGTTGCGGAGAAAAGTACATTCCAGCATAAGGCCTTCTGACAGCCTTTTGCTTAAATCACAGTTGACTTTTCCCTTCGGGCAAGTTTACTTCTTGTGAAATTCCTAGAAAGGGCTGGGGAGAGGACCAGAGACTCAGAAAGAAGCAGGGATTCGGGACCCATAGAGGTCTGGGGACGTTCAGGGGCCTGGAGGAAAATGTTTGTCTTAGAGGGATTCGGAAATCCGACAAATTCTGGGCACGGAGAGGCACGATGCCCTCGGGCCCTGGCTTGGAGCATCGCGGAGCCGCGCGTACGCGTCGCGCAACCTGCCGCAGGGGCGGCTCCGAAGCCCGGCCCGCGTGGCGCTCGCTCGCCCCACCCGCTGGGACTCCGGGACGGGGGGCGGGGCTCCGGAGCGGCCCCGCCTCCCACCCCGCCGACCGCGGGGTCACAATGTAGGGTTAGGGCGGCCGGGGGGCGGGGCTTGGCGGGGGAGGAGCCGCCAGGAGGGGGCAGTGACGGCGGTTGAGGGACGGGAGGGGTGGGGACGGGAGGGGAGGGGAGGAGGAGTTGCGGTGGGAAGAGGACAACGCCATTCTGGCCGGCCGCTCCCTCTGTCCCCTTTCCCTTCCCCGCAGTGGCCCGCGAGCCGCCAGCGGAGGAGCGCGCGCGCGCGCGCGTGACGCGTCCGGGCTTGCTAGCGCCCTCCCGCCCCCCAGCGTCCACCGCCCGCTCATGGCCCGGGCCGCGGCCGCCGAGCCGCGCTGAGGCGGGCCGCGCGGAGTCGTGGGGCCGCCGCCGTGGCCCTCGGTGTCCGCGCCTCGCCGCCAGCCCGAGGTGCCCGCGCACGCCGGCCGCCGTCGCCTTCTCGCCTGGCTGGCGGGGGCGCTGTCCTCGCCGGCCGTCCGCGTCGCTCCCTGGAGCTCGGCGGAGCGAGGCAGTCAGGGCCAGCGGAGGCTCGGGGAGCCGGACGCCAGTTCGGCGGGGGCCATGACCGTGGAGCAGAACGTGCTGCAGCAGAGCGCGGCGCAGAAGGTGAGGAGACCCGGCCCCGCTCCTCCGCCCGAGGTGCCGCCCTCCCCCGCCGCGGCTGGGACCTCCCAGCCGCCCGGGCCTCCGCGGCCCCAGCTTTCCCCGCGCCGCCGTCCCCCGCCCCTGCCCGCTTTGGGGGCGTCGCGCCCAGTTCCGGGCTGCGTGTGGAAAGCGGGGTGTAGTTAGCGGGTTTCAGTCCACTTCCTTCTTGCCAATTGTTTTCCTGTAACCGGCGGTGCCGGGTATTTGTTGAGCCCGACCTCACATTCCTACACTCCTCTATATGACTTCCTAATTAAACTTTATCTTCCTCGTCTTTTTTTATTTTTTTAAGAAAAAGGAGTAGCAGGTTGTCATCCCTTGTGAACCCAGTTTTCTTTCCAAGACAGGAGCCTTCCAGGTCTGCTATTTTGCAAAAGAGTCTCCACCGGAATTGAGTTGCTTGTCTGGAGGGGCAGGTACAGGAACCAGGTGGACTCAATGTAAAAGTAGAGGATTTGGTTGGTTCCTTTTTCTTTCTTTTTGTTCTTTTTTTTTTTCCTCCTTTTTTTTTTTTTAAATATAGAAATTGTCCCTTAGGAAGGGGACCTTTCTGGCTATGCTTATGTCAGGTATATTTTGTCCCCTAAGTTTGACCTTGTTCCATCCTCACCCTTTACTCTTGCCTCGGTCACACATTAAAAAGATTGCTCCCTTAAAAAAAAAACAAAAACAAAACTTGGTTTGTGAAGCTTCAAGTCTTTTCCATTAAGTATACTGAAGTGAGAGATGGTACTTTTCCCCCCTCGATTTTGCTTTTGGAATCTCAAGTGCACTATCACGAATTGCACCATATCCTGGAGAGTCGTTTGCTATGGCTTAATTTTTTGGGAGGGGGTTATTGGTGTGAAAAACATTTTGGGCAAAAGGAAAACATTACTTTCCTCGTCTTGGAATTATGGTGGTGACCAGGGTTTACTGTGAAAAGCTGCTAGCACTGTTTGATTTTTCTGGGAGAGTAGTGTAAATGCCCCACCCTGTGGTGTTGATATCAGTAGTTTTTTGGCATCATTATATCGTACCTGTGCTTGATTTTAGAATAAGGCCTACTGTCATAAAATGGACTGTGTATACTCACAGCATGCTAAGTTTTTGCTTTGAGATATTTTTAGAATTTTATGGTAGTACTTGAAGTAACTGAAGATGCTCAAGAATTTTGGAAAGCGAGCATTCTGCATTGTTATTTCAGGCACCTTGGGGAAGTTGTCTTGAAACTCTTGTGTGTTAGTTAATAGTTATTGGTTAATTTGGGCGTCCCAGGTGGCTCGGTGGTAAAGAATCTGTCTGCAATGCATAAGACTCTGGTTCGATCCCTAGGTTGGGAAGATCCCTTGGAGAAGGAAATGGCAACCCACTTCAGTATCTTTTTGCCTGGGAAATCTCATGGACAGAGGAGCCTGAGGGGGCTTCTGGGGTGGCATGGGGCCATGGGGTGGCAAAGAGTAGGACACCACTTAGCAGCTAAACAAGAGTGACTGGGTTAATTAAGAAGACGTTGCAGATTGCAGTTTATTTACAGTGAAATAATCCTAGTTTTAATAATGGGAGTTTAGAACAGTTTATCTCCCAACCCCCTCCATTCTGTTTTGAATACCTTGAACTTTAGTTTTTGATGTTGAGTATGTGACAAAGTGTTAATACTTAGAGGAGGATCTTGTGGCCATAGTATACTGAGCAATATTTAGTAGACTTGGGTTTGTAGTTCTCTTCAGTGTTGAGTATTAAAGCCTTTCTTTTTTTTTCTCAAAGTGGGAAATGTAGCTCATATATTTCACATATCAGATTTGAACAATGGCAAAAAATTTGTGAGTTTTTTAAATTTATTTTTGACTAATGTACTTAGATAATGCAGATCTGCCCATTTCAGAGGTTTATGCATAAATTTGAGTCAAGAATCAAATTACTAAAAGTGATCTTAGCCATCAAGTCCAGTTTCCTAGTTTAATGAGTCCCCTCCTTACGCAAAGGGAGTAGTTAGTCTAAAATGCTATCATTTTGACACTGTTTTTAGTATGTGTCGTATCATCTCGCTGAGATTGTGGACATTTTTTAGAGCAATACAGTTGGATTTATTTTTATACTTCTGTCATGGTCTTTATGTATTAAAGAAACATTTAATGTGCTTGCCATATTAATATGCTTTGTTACTCATAGTAGTACTATTTTAAAATATTCATACAGGTTCAAATACTTTAAACCATCTACTTCATATGAACTGACATTAAAATCCACCAAGCTAGTAACTAGGAAGTAGACTTCAAGAGTAACTAGGAAGTGAACTACTTTAGAAGAAACAAAAGTGAAACTCTTTGTTTTTAAAATGGAAACTGAATTATTAGTAAAACGAGAAGTGTCTAGTGCATATTGCATAACCAAAATTTTAGCCTATTTTCTGCTCTTTAAAAAAGTGTTGTATGCTCATGTATAATATTAGCTTCATGTGAAGAGCTATAGTCTGGTTGTTGGAACAGTTTCCTATTTTGTGAGATTTTTTTTTTTTCTTCCCAAAGGATGTATGATTATAATTTAAAAAAAAAAAAAGTAGCACAACACTCAGATCTTTTTTTTTTTTTAAATAGCACAAAACTCACAGGTCTTCTGTTTACCTACAGAGTAGCTTGTCACGATGTACCGTAAGGCAAGGTGTGTCTTTTCTTCTGATGTGTTCTTTTCTTGATTGCTCAAGTTTGGCTCTGGCAGGGGATTGTGAGATTAAGTGAAACTGCAAAGAGCTGTTTTTCTGAGGTTTAAGATGATACAGGTGAATTGGAGTTGGCAGCAGATTAGCTAAGGTTAAGTCCTGTCATAATTTTGGTCTTGAATCTGTATATTCGGCCTTTCTGCTTGATATTTACCTGAAGTGTAGGATTCTCATCTCAGAAATTTGGTTCATTGATTCAGGTCCCAAAAGAGAATTCTTTAGGACAGCAATAGAAGGCATTCTCCCAGAGACTAGATTAATTTGAAGAGCTGTGAGCTGGATTCTATTTACATTAACTGTATTCTTCTGAGTTGAATAAAAAACAGGGTTTTTTTTGGCCTATTTTGTTTCACCCTAGGGCTTAGAACAGCTCCTTGCACATAGTTCAGTTTAGTTGCTTAGTTTTGTCTGACTCTTTGCAACCCCATGGACTGCTGCACGCCAGGCTTCCCTGTTTATCACCAACTCCCAGAGCTTGCTCAAACTCATGTCTGTCCAATCAGTGATGCCATCCAACCATCTCATCCTCTGTCATTCCCTTCTCCTGCCTTCAATCTTTCCCAGCATCAGGGTCTTTTCCAATGAGTCAGTTCTTTGCATCAGGTGGCCAAAGTATTGGAGCATCAGCATCAGTCCTTCCAATGAATATTCAGGACTGATCTCCTTTAGGATGGACTGGTTGCACATAGTAGGCTTCAGTAAATATTTGATGAATGAAATAAAGAGTGAGTGCTTTCTAAAAGGAATGCAAACTGCAGGGGTTATTTTAGTTCCTTAACTGAATCTCACAATTTAATATGATTGAGAAACAGTTAAGAGCTTCGTCGGTGGCACTAATGGTAAAGAACCTGCCTGCCAATTTAGGCATCATCAGAGATGTGGGTTCCATGCCTGGGTCGGGAAGATCCTCTGGAGGAGGGCATGGCAACCCATTCCAGTATTCTTGCCTGTAGAATCCCATGGACAAAGAAGCATGGCGGGCTACATACAGTTCGTAGTGTCACACGGAGTTGGACACGACTGAAGTGACTTAGCGCACACGCAGAAACAATGAAAGCTTGAAATTGTGGACATCTGTTAGAATAATGGCAGTGTAGTGAAAGACTAGGATGTGGGTTGATCTCAATCACCTTTCCATGACCTCGAGCAAGTCATTAAATGCCTCTGAATCTACTTTTAAAGCCTTGAAGATAGATGATTAGATATGAGCAACTTTTTAGGTCTGAGTGTTTAGTGGAGCTAAGCATGTGTTTATTCCAGACAGGGAGGATAAAAGAGAGAGAGAAGAAGATAGAGACAGAAGGAATCTTACGGATCTACAGTCAGCTTTCATTTAATTATATTGGGGGTTAGGTGGGAAAGAAGTCACAGACTAACCAAATTAAGAGTTGAAACTTGAAAAACAATACAAGCTGAATTCTGGGTAAACTTCTTAGTTACAGTAATGTAGTAGTTCTAATTTAGGAATTGTCTAAAGTTATAGAATGTTCAATGGAAGGACTGATGTTGAAGCTAAAACTCCAATACTTTGGCCACCTGATGCGAAGAGCTGACTCATTTGAAAAGACCCTGATGCTGGGAAAGATTGAAGGGGAGAGGAGAAGGGAACGGCAGAGGATGAGATTGTTGGATGGCATCACCGACTCAATGGACATGAGTTTGCGTAGACTCCGGGAGTTGGTGATGGACAGGGAGGCCTGGCGTGCTGCAGTCCACGGGGTTGCAAAGAGTTGCACACGACTGAGCAACTAAACTGGAAGTTATAAAAATATAATATAGCATTTAAAGAGACAGTTAACCTTATATAAATCACTGTAAACATTATATAAAATGGACATTCTTTAGTATTAAATGGTTGGTTATCTTGTTATTAGCATAAGACTTAGTTTACTGAGACAGCAGGCTCCAGCTACTTATTCCCCTTTTACTCCTTTCCTTTCTCACCTAGTTTTGACTTCTATACATACTAAGGTTGTATCCCATTGTCTTAATGAATTTTCATTAGTTCTAATATTCTGATAGTCTTCAATATTCTTTGTATGCAGCCCATATCATTTGCAAATAATTATCATTCTGACCTCCTCTTTGTCAATTTTGGCACCTCTTTTTTCATATGTTATTATTTTAGCTAAGATTACAGAATACTAGGATTAATAGTAGGGTCTGTAATGTATTGTTTCATTGTAATATGAAATGTCCTTATAGTTACAATTTTTTTAAATGCTTTGAAATCAGATTTAGATGTTGACTCTTTATCAAATAT